TTTTTTCTATCGATGACCCTAAGTCTAGATAAGCTGCATTCTCTAAGGTAATGATAACAGTTTCTTCTGAGAACTGCAGGGTCTAGATTCACCTTAGTCTCACATACCGAGGTGACAGTCACTGGAAAATTCAGGCTCTGGCTAGTTTATCCAAGGCATCTCTGAACATGTTGGGGGGGACCCATCCTGCATTATCCTCTTCAAAAGGTCAAAAAAACCTAAGCTCCTTAGAGTCACAAATCGTATCATTGAAAGAGACTAAGAAACTCATTAAATAGGTAAGGAGGTTGAGGGCCAAAGAAATATATAATTATTTCAAAGATGTTTCACATTGAACTGTTGCAGAACCATGACCAAACTCATACATAGCGAAAATAATGAAAATAAAATAACCTTGTATTAAAACATTTAGGGTTAACAAGAGTCCACCAATAGGGGGCAGCAGAGGTCGCCTCGCCTGCCTTCTGCTAACCTATTATTTCAGTATAAGAAAGTCACTTTGTCTTGGTTCCGTTTCTGAGGTGACAGAGTGCAACAAACAGGCAGATTTATAACCAGGTCTTGTCATCCCCCTAGAGGCAGTAAGTAATCAGGTGGGGGCTGGCTAGGTGGTATTTCTGGGGCCTTCTCTGCATGTGAGAATATGCCCAGTCCCCCGCCCCCATCAGAGCTCAGTGCAGGCCCAGCTTGTCACTGAATCCCACAGCTGTCTTAGCAGGAAGCTAACATTTAAGGCACTGAAACGCAAGTCTGAATTTTCCACTAAAATTCGTTCCACTAGTCAATAAATTAGGCAAAGGCAAGTGGTGAAACTAGGAATCTGCCAAACATTCTCATTTTCGTTTCTAAGCAAACACCAACCAGCAACCACATTCTCTATTATGTGCAAAGCTTGGGGGTTGAAAATGAGAAGAGGCTGGCAGGGGAGGTGGAGGATGAAATCAGGGTGTGAGCTCAAAAGCTCAGGCTCTGAACCAGCTCCCCTCTCTGCCTAAGGTGGGGCGCCCGGTCCTGCTCTCTTCCTCCCCAAGCTCTTTCCCAGGCCACAGCCCCTTTCCTCCCTGCTCCCCTCTGCCCTTTCAGGCCTCCCTGTGCTGCCCTGTCCGGTCCTTCCAGGACTCACAGGCTGCCTCCATCAGTGAAGGCGGTGCCTTTCAGACACTTGCCCTTGGCTTCCACCAGGATACCAGCTCGGGGCGGCTGTGGACACGAATCTGTCAGTCTTGCCTTGCACTTATCCAGCAGGGCAGGTAAGTCTCAGGCTGCATCATAACACCTTTCCTGACCTCTGGAGTCAGTCTGCCAGACCACTTTTAGAAATGGAGGGGGCCCTTCACGGGGCATGGGTCAAGAGAGGAATGGACTGAGAATTGAATAAGAGATGCACATGCACACCTATATACACACATGCACTGTCTTATTAGAAAAGTGAAACAAGTCTTTAATGGGCCAAAGACTATAAAGAAAAAAACGGAAATCTCCTGTGACCTACCCATGCACAGCCACTGTGAAAGTATTTTGAAAATATTAAAAACTCAATCCCCACACAAATTGAAAGCAAGCATATGTCAAAGATGCATTCAACTTAACTAAGGGGAGAACCAACAAGGTGACGAAGCCCAGTAGCGGCTATGAGAGACTGAGTGTACAGAATCAGAAGGGTAGGCTAGTTTAGATGCAGAACTGGCCACAATCTTTCAGAGAATCAAACTGTCACCTTGGCAGGAGAAATAGTTTAATTGCAACTGGAGGAAAAATAGTCCAGGTGTTAGGGAGCAACTTGACAGACTCTAGGTTCTACTCAACAGTACGTCTACCTTCCAGGAATGTCCCCAGGTGATCAGCCAGTCGTGGGATGGACCTGATGGCTGCTCCGTGTCACTGGGAAAGGTCATGCAGTCTCTCGTTACCCGTTTGCTGGCTGTGTGTTATTTGAAAAACAGAAATAGATGTGCTCTAGTTTATTTTACTACACTCGTCTCCCTGCATTGTTGGGAGCAAATTATATTCTAGGGAATATTCTAGTAAATACATCTTCACACATTTCTTAATTACATGCAATTCCAATTGATTCCCGTCCACTCTCAGGAACCGAATATGACGACACACATTTCCCCCACCTTTACCAACACCGGGAAATATATGTTTCTAGTCTTTGATAATTTACAAAAAAAATGGGATCTTGTTATTTTTAATCAAAATTACTTTATTAGTGAATTTATACCTTTTCCCCTGGTTATCTTGGTTTTGTCGTGTTTTTGTGCCAATGGAATTTTAAAGCAATGAGCTTAAAAGATGAGCGTAAAAGAACAGAAATGTCGTAAAATTGCAGCTGGGAGCCTGGGCACATGTGGGGGGAAGGAGTTTGTCTCTGACCCCTGCAATTGGAAAGACAAGGACGATGGTGTAAGTACCATGGACATGACCCGCAGGACCCCAGGCAAAGAACCTGCTGTATACCCAGACATCAGGTAAGAGGATGGAGCAGTGGTCAGATTTGTTTCCGAGGTCACACAGTCTGGTTCTGTGTCATGCAAAGGTCATAATATATATTCATATTTGCTTGTATCAACATGTAGAAATGCTGGAAGACTGTAAGAGAAACTAACTAGGTCACAGGTGGTAAGAGTGAGTGGAAAATAGAGGGACAGGGAGGAAGCAAAGCTCTTCATCAAGCATTTTGATTCTGTTTCATTTTTTAAATGTTTTGTGTTTTCTATTTTTAAAAAAATAACCTTTAAAAATTCTTTAAAATCAGGCCCTCCCTGGTGGTGCAACAGGTTAGGATGCAGCACTGCAAGCCAGCTACATCCACTTCAGTGCCAGTTGGATCCCTGGACCCAGAGGTGACCACATAGCACAGCAGACCTCTCCTGACCTGCCTGCTGCTCCCCTCAGCAGTGTGCTTTATCCATCTGCCTGTTCTGCTCCCCACTCTGTCTCTGTGAATCCTCTTACCATCCCTGAACCTCTGGCCTGTACCCCAGTTCTGTATGCATAAATAAATAAATCTTGAGGAAAAAAACACAACTGCTTAAAAAAATCCTTTAAAATCATTCATAAAGCCCAGAATTTAAGAATTAATACATATGACCTTGCTCCTTAAAGTTTAGGCAGATTAAAATTTGACAACAACTTCATGAAAGTAAGAAACAGGAGCCCTCCATGGTGGTGCAGCGGGTTAAAGCACATCACTATGAAGCTATTGCAGCCACTTCAGCACAAGTTCAATCCCCCGCCAGGGAGCTGACCCACATGGTGTGATAGACCTCTCCTGACCCACCTGCTGCTCCCCTCAGCAGTATACTTCATCAATCTGCCTGTTCTGCTCCCTGCTCTGTCTCAGATGACTCCTCTCACCCCTACATCTCTGGTCTGTACCCCAGTTCTGTATGAATACATAAATAAATGTTTTTAAAGTATATTTTAAAAAATAAGAAACAAAGGCGTAGTTGCTATGCAGGTATGTGGGTATTGAAATTGTTCTCCTTTAACATACTTATCAAAACCTGGTAAGAATGGGTGGAGAATTCTAAAACCTAACTGTTGACTGTAGAGATTAGACTAATCTAATAATAAGCTTCCAGAACAGATCTGTTTGTTGTGAGGATTAAAGGGCATAGACCAGTTCTTACTTCAGTGAAGGTCATGGATCAATGAAATTGGCACTTGCTGCGACTCCATTATGTGGTGGCCAGGTTGGGGTGTGTGGCTGACAAGTGATGTTCTCAATGAGGTACTGAGGTATCAGGTCTGAAATCTGTGCTGGCATGGAGAATGAAAGTCATGCTTGTTAACAGGATGTAGAGTCTTCAATGTGAGAGATGTGGTGGTGTCAATGTCAGAAATCTTGAATGCACTGCTTGGGTAATAACTATTATTTCTTAGCTCCCACAGGAGACAAATACAGATGAATCAGTCAGTGGACCTGGAAAGAAATAAGAACAGAGAAGCTTTGAGAAGTATCTCAGTCTGTTGATCAAATTATTAAAGGTAAATTTGTAAGTCCCTGTCGGGACCGAGACCCGGACTTTGCCTCCTATGCACAAAACAACACTTGATTGGAACTTAGAGTAAACATCCTGGTTGAGAACGCAGCACACCCGAATCCCTTCCCCCATTCTCCTTCCTTTCCTGCTCAGCAAGCTTTGGCACCAAAGAGACAGAGATGACGATGGATCCCTCCCCCCCCCTTTCTGCAAGCTTAAATACCCGCACCCTGCTCAATAAACTTGAGACCTTGATGCGATCCAGACTGACTCTGTCTTTCTTTATGCGCCTGGTCTCCTTTCTCTCTCCCCCCATTGGCTTTGCAGGAGGTGCCCCCTCGAGACCCACGAATTACTAGACCTGCTGGACGGGTCAAGTCCCTTTTTCATTCAAAGAGTTTTAATGTACTGATCCAATTTCCATTGATGCTGCTGCTTCCCTAGAACATGGGGACAATAGATGTACCGTTAGGAAAGATCTGTCTCTTTCCTCATGTAGTAGAGTTAACTCATCTAGAGCATCAGACTCTGAAAGGAGTGGGTAGTTTATGAAGAACACTGATTCCTTGGCCAAAAATGAGTGCTGGCCCATAGACAATGGAAGATATTAGAGATTTTGAAGAGGATGGTGACATGGAGAGAATAAGAGGGCCATAAGATAGACTCTTTAGAAAGAACACTTTCAGCTGAAGTCATTGTTAAATTTCCATACTTCTATCACTTTGTCAACTGAGAGGAAAATGAAAAGGCTAAAATAAAATAATGGCATTTACTTGGGGTCATAGAATTGCAATTGGGGAACATAAACTCAGATATCAGCCTAAATTGTGTCCCATTAGGGTCTTCATTTGAGGAGTTTTAAAGGAAAAGATGGGTGGGGGAATAGAATACAATAAGAACTGATGTAGTTCAATCCTTAGAGTTCACTGGCTTTTAGCCAAACTGGCCTTGGTTGCTATAGAGAAAAGGGAAAACAGTTCTTTGCACAATTTGGAGAAGGCTGTGTCTAGTTGGAAAACTGGTTCTTGCCAATCAGTGATTTTGTTTTAAGGTAAAAGTTCAGTAATATGGAATCTCAGTTACATGATGGAATTGGTTCAGGCCACCTGAACATTCTCTTGTTACAGCTTTAAGAACTAAAACTGGGTAAAACTAATAATTTCAGGGGCACTATCCTGAGCACTCAGGGGTATGAATGCAAGGAATGCTCATATATGAATATTTTTTTGAATCCAGGTCAATTTAAAACTTATATGGGTGGGTTGACCACAAAATGCTTCCCAGTATTTTTTTAATTGTCCTGATATTTTTTCTGCACTATCTCCAGCTTCCTAAATACAAACAAACCTATAGACAGAGTGGGGAGCAGAACAGGCAGATCTACCAACATAGACAGCTGAGGGGAGCAGCAGGTGAGACAGGAGAGGTCTGCTGTGCCCTCTGTGGGTCAGCTCCCTGGCTAGGGATTGAACTCGTGCTTTAGTGACTTGATAGTGCTGAGATTTCAACCCCTGCACCACCAGGGGGGGCCCAGATTTCCAAAGTTTTTACTTCCTATTTGGGTAAATTTAGAAAAAGTGATTTTATCTTCTACTCCTTCCCTCTTTCCCTCTTTCTACTCTTTCCCTCTTTCGCCCCCCAAATACAGCCATTTATTCTTTGTAAATGGGGCCTCTGAGGCCTTTTTCAATAGGTGCTGAATTGTTCCTTAGGGTTTAATCTTCCCATTAAATAGATGGATGGCTCATTGGGTGTCATTATTGAAATGCAAGTTTTTATGTAGAATGCCAAGTCATCCCTGACATCAGCCGTTTCACCCTTAGGTAAGAACAACTAATTTTTTATTCTTATCTGATGATTGAGTTATTGCTCAAGTTAATCATAATTAGTTTCTAGTTCTTGTGAATACACCAGTGTGGGCAGGCAGAGAACTAGAGCCAAACATGTAGTAGATTTGTCTTAATTGCAAGTACTTGCTCATTTATTTTGTGTATAATAATAGCTGCCTGTGAAAACATTACCAAATGATGACGAATCTTTGTAATCAAGATAGGACCCAATGCTACCTCAATGACCTAGAAGAAAATAATGTTAACATTTAATAAAGTGTATATATTCAGTTCTGAATATATTTAAATCAGGTCTCTTTGAAAATAAGTAAAATTTGCTTACTGTATTTAACAGGTGAAATGCAATCAGACAAGAACATTTATATGTGGAAACTCAAAGTTTGACACTTTGAAGGCGGAAGATGAGACCAC